CAACCCCATGCATCAACCCCATGCATCAACCCCATGCATCAACCCCATGCATCAACCCCATGCATCAACCCCATGAATCAACCCCATGCATCAACCCCATGCATCAACCCCGTGCATCAACCCCACCCCATGCATCAACCCTATGCATCAACCCCATGCATCAACTCTATGCATCAACCCTATGCATCAACCCCATGCAACAACCCCATGCATCAACCCCATGCATCAACCCCATGCATCAACCCTATGCATCAACCCCATGCAACAACCCCATGCATCAACCCCATGCATCAACCCCATGCATCAACCCCATGCATCAACCCCATGCATCAATCCTATGCATCAACCCTATGCATCAACCCCATGGAACAACCCCATGCAACAACCCCATGCATCAACCCCATGCAACAACCCCATGCAACAACCCCGTGCATCAACCCTATGAATCAACCCCATGCATCAACCCCATGCATCAACCCCACCAAAGGCATCCAGCACTGGCAGGTAACCGTTCATCGTGAGCCTATGACCTCGCTCTGGTAAGTACTTATGAAAAATAAGCTCATGGTGAAAATAAGTCAAAAATAAGGGCATGTTCCTACGCTCTTATCAAGCAAACCTCTTGTCAGCCTTGCCTGGTAAAAGTAGCGAGGGTTTTTGGGTTTAGGGAATTTTCAGTGTGTTTTGACGTGAGCTTGATAAGAGGTTGGCCTGATAAGGGGCCGTAGGAACATGCCCTAAGTCCTCCTGGCACTCTTCCCTCCCACGTTCCCACCGAAGTCTCAAGGCTCACCCAAATGCCTCAACCTTCCTTTCTTTGGTCAGGTGTCACAAAGTTGATAGCTAACTTCTTCTCAGACCGTCACTGTGCCTTCGTTTCTCAAGATTATTTGTCACCCTAAATCCTGTCAGAATGTTATTATCTAGCCTGTAGTGGGGTGCTCTGTAGCGGGTACAACCCAACTAGGGTTTGCTATATGTATCCCCATTGCTGCTAGTGAACCTCCTTCTTTGCCTAAACTTTCTCTTGCCTAGCTAGGGCTTACCTAGCTATGGCTCCTAACTCTGTCTACCATTCTTACATGGTATCAGAGCGCTTACGCTCCTGGCCTGTGGGCCCACATGCTTCTGCTGCCCTACTATGTGTCGCGCGCCCCGTGGCGCGCGACCTTCAATTTTTCATCCCGCCGCGCGCTCGGGGCGCGCGGCGGTTTTCTGCCCGCCGTGCGCCCCGAGGCGCGCGGCGGTTTCCTACCGTAGAGGAGCCCACGCGCGCCTCGCCCGTTCGTCGCGGCGCCCTGAGGAGCTCGCGCGCGCCCCGCCCGTTCGTCGCGGCGCCCTGGGGAGCCCGCGAGCGCCGCGCCCGTCCGTCGCGGCGCCCTGGGGAGCACGCGCGGCCCCCACCCTGCTCGTCGCGGCGCCCTGGGGAGCACGCGCGGCCCCCGCCCGTTCGTCGCGGCGCCCTGGGGAGCCCGCGCGCGCCCCGCCCGTCCGTCGCGGCGCCCTGGGGAGCCGCGCGCGCGCGCCCCCCCCGCCCGTCCGCCGCAGCGCCCTGGGGAGCCGCGCGCGCCACCCCCCTCCCCCCGTCCCGCCTGTCCGTTTTGGCGCCCTGGGGGTCGCGAGCCGTCCCCCCTCGCAGTCCTCCGCGCTCCTGCCCCTATCCCACCCGTTTTAGGGTTTGGGGGTGAGGAGTGTGGGGGTGGCGGTTGTGGGGGTGTCGATTGTGTTCACCGTCCCCTACTCCTCCGCCTCCTTCGTCTCCCACTGCTGCAGCTGTCGCTGAGGGGGGTGGATGTATGGGAGCCTGGGGTTTAGGGTTTAAGGGGGGTGCCGTGGGAGTGGAGCTAGGGTTTGACCAGGGGGTGTGTGTCGAGGGTGTGGGGCAGTTGGAGGAGGTTGTGTAAAGGTAGCTGTCGTGTCGCCTGCAGTGCCTGTAGTCCGTCGCCCTTGCTTCGGTAGCCAGTGAGCCTGTTGCACCAGTCGCCAGTGGGTCCGTTGCTCCTGCCGCTCGTCTATAGCCGCGGAGCCAGTCACTCCAGTAGTCCGTCGCCCTTGCTTCGGTAGCCACTGAGTCAGCCGCTCCTGTGCCCGTGCCTCTGCAGCTTCAGTCGTTGCCTCCCATCTTCTCTCCCTCCACAGTTCCTCCTCCTCCTCACTTGCCCACTGTGACTAACTCTAGCTTTGCTTACTATTGTGAACTCCTGCTCTATGCCTGCTTGCTCATTGTACTGATTACACCCCACTTTGGCTATGGGGGTGTGTCAGAATGTTATTATCTAGCCTGTAGTGGGGTGCTCTGTAGCAGGTACAACCCAACTAGGGTTTGCTATATGTATCCCCATTGCTGCTAGTGAACCTCCTTCTTTGCCTAAACTTTCTCTTGCCTAGCTAGGGCTTACCTAGCTATGGCTCCTAACTCTGTCTACCATTCTTACAAATCCGGTCTTTCAGTCACGAAGAGAGGCACGGAATATTTCCTCAGTTGCATCCTAGATTTGGCAACTCTGGCGAAAGTATTTTATTCAGCGACCCACTGCAAGATATTTCAATGCCACCCTGTTTCGCAGGCCAATCCCTCCTCCTGCCCCAACCAACCTTCCTACTTTTGGAAGCTATGGACCTCGGGGTTTTACCTTCTCCAGCGCAGCTCCATTCCGGCACATTGCACTGGAATGTCTACCACATGCTCCTTCCACCACCCAACCAGGCCCCTAGATTCGGTTTGAGGTAGTCTGAGGCCTCAGAGTACACCCCTCCTGGAACTCTGTCTGTCGGAGGTGCCTCAAATTTTTTGTCTGAAAATTCAGACAAGCACAATTTTTTTTGTCTGAACTGTCAGAGTTACTTCAAATTTTAAGATGTTCATGCAGTTTCGTAAAAGCAGTTATAATAGCATTGAGGCTGATTACAGCCTACCATACCAACGCATCAGGCAACGTGCTCGTGCTCGTGCATCGCCTCTGCTCATGTCGGCGGCGTTCCAGTGTTTTTGTCACGTGCAGCGCATGGTTGTTTCTGCTCTGCTGATCTCATTTCGTTTTGTCGTGTGTGTGATTACCGTTCTGTACCGATTTTCTCGCATGTGTGCCGATTTTGTCAGTTTTGGATTTGCTTTTCAAGCGATTCGATCGTTCACCCGATCTGTATCAGGTGGGCCAAGTGCCACGCAGCTGAGCTGGCAGCAGGCAGAAACTGTTGCTTGGCGTGGCATGTGAGGATCAGACAGTGCCACACGAAACTTTCAGTACGAATTAGGAACTTCGCAATTCACACCAGTGCGTGCTGCAGATGTTTTTACAGCGAATCAGCATCAAAGTCGCCTATTCTTTACAATACATTAGCGATAACTTACATGTGACGAGATTTTGTCTTCAGAAATCTCGTAATCACGCAACCATTTCCTCAGCGTAACTGGAAGATATTCTCGACGAACGAGTGTATTTGGATGTCCCAGCTGTCGAAGTGAGCGTTGCTCACGTCCTGGCACTCCACTGCCATCTCGGAAGTGGGCATATCGGAAGGAAACTTCCAGGAAACTTTGCTCCGATAAGCGCGCAGAGTGTACCCCCGATACAAGTCTGAGGCTCAGCCTACCCTAGTAAAATTAGGCTGAAATTTCAGACAACTCATAAGAAAAAACTCTGGAAAATCAGACAAGGTACATAAATAAATTCTTCGAGTTCAGACTAGGTACAACAAAAAAAGTCTGAACGGACTCTGATTCAGACTCCAAAGTCTGATATCTAGGGCACTGCACCCAACAAGGCTGCCAGCCTACCATTACTTCTCTTTTGTTGCCCGACAACAATGCATTGCACTCGATTACACCGTATGCAGTACAATTGGCATATTAACTACATGCCCATGCTTATCCACCAATCTAACCGACCCAAACAGAAACGACCTCACAAGCTTCCTTGCCTTGAAAACCATCGTGATGCGCTGCACCTTTCCCGGACCAACGGTAAACCGGCTCGGCGACACCCGAACCTGCACGTTCGTCGGCACCCGAACCTGCACAGTGTACGTCGACGGCTGGTCAAACACGTTCCGAACCGTGCGCACAATCGTCTTTCCGCGGACCGACAGCCGTGAGATCGAGATTCCACGGCTCCACCAGCGTTCGAATCCCCTTCAGCCCCGGAAACGCATGCTTGGTCTGCTGGAGATTCCGGCTCGCGAGAAAATTCACATAATCGTTAAACCCAGAGGTGAGAGTTAATCCGGGGTCTATAATTCTCGACGGGTCGACCTGCCCCGAGCCGTAATCCCACGGAGTAGCCACGTCCCCATTCGCGCGTTTGATTGGCTGGCCGGCATTATTTACTGTAGATGCTGTAGTCATCATTGCAGACATGACCTGGGCGGGCGTCCAGCCTGGATTCTTCTGGATTACTGGCGCCGCGATTCCGGCGAGATGCGGTGTAGCCATGGAGGTACCCGAAATGCACTCAAACATGGGAGGTTCGGTGGCTGCCGAAGCTGCGCTCTTGCCTCGGTACGCCGACCAGAGCTGGAACCCCGGACCTACTATGTCCGGCTTTAAGATGTCGTTGGTTGCGAAGGAGGAAGGGACTGGAAACCAGGATGGGTTTACGGTTGGTCCGGTGGAAGAGAACTTAGTCATTTGGGGGGCGTTGGAGGAATTTGTGGTAATGACTTCGGTAAGTGTCGCCACGGGATTGGCTGTCTGCTCCAGGTAATTGTTCACCTGCCCGCCCTGGGCGTTGGTGAGGAACAGGACGGGCAGGCTGGTGAAAGGAATCGTGTCCATGTTGTCTGTATTGGGAGAGCCACTAAGGAGGACAAGCGCTGCTGCCTTGGAAGCAGTAAGGAAGGTAATGGGGACTCCTACAGATGGCTCCAAAGTGCAGACGATAATTTTCCCAGCCAATTTGCTTGGGTCGATGGCAGTGTCGTCACACACATCAGCCTGGCATCATAAAAAGGGTGAAGGAGAGAGGCGCAGCGCAGGGCAAAGGAGAGAGAGAGGAGGGTTGTTATGTGCACACTATCATTTTCCCAGCCAATTGGCTTTGGTCGATGGCAGTAAAGTCACACACATCAGCCTGGGGGATCATCAGAGGGGGAACGATGCAAACAGGTGGAGGGCAAAAGAGAGGATGCTTGGAATGTGCTGATGGGGATTCGACTTTATTGACCTGTGACTCGACTCAAAGTCACCTTGTGATAAATGCGTGTGACTCACATCAGCAGCAGACGCGCCTGCTCGGACAGCAGCGGAAGCCGGCAGGAGCACTTTATTGACCGTCTGTGCGGCGGTGCCTCCGAAGCTCACTCCCCTCACCTCCTCCCCATTCCCCAGGATCAGCTTTGCAAGGAACTGCCGACCAATGGTGCTGCGAGAGGAGAGGGGAGGAGCGGAGTATTTTTGAGAATTCTAAAAAATACTCTGCAACATCTTGAGAATTCTCAAAAATACTCTGCAACATCTTGAGAATTCTCAAAAATACTCTGCAATCTTGAGAATTCTCAAAAATCTTGAGAGGGCAGGGGAGGAGCGGAAGATGGGAAGGGAGAAGAGGGAGGGAGGGAGCGGGATGAGGGAAGGGAAGGGAGTAAGTGGCTGTGTGCCTTCCTGTCCTGCATGGCTCCTCCTCCACTCGGTGCCTCCAAAGCTCGCTCACTCCCCTAAGAGACTTTTGAGTCGACTCAAAAGTCACCTGGAGCTGGATGAGGGAAGGGAGTAACTGGCTGTGTGCCGTCCTGCATGGCTCCTCCTCTTCTCGGTGCCTCCAAAGCTCACTCCCCTAAGAGCCACACCATGCCTACTTTTAAGGATCAAAAAGTAGAGTGAGCTCAAAAGTAGACTCCACACCGTACCCCAGGATCAGCTTTGCCACACCGTGCCCCAGGATCAGCTTTGCCACACCGTGTCGACCAATGGTGCTGTGGTAAGGGAGAGAGGGATTCCTTGAGGGAGGGGAGCGAGGGGGATATAGAGGGGTTCTGAGTCGCTTTTAAGAGGTGCAACTCACTCACTCCCATAAGCTCCATCCATCCCATACCCCAAGCCATGGAGAAGTAGTTTCCTTACAGCACACCGTTACCCCGTCACACGAAGCGTCTTCATCAGCACACCTCTTCCGTTCAACAAAGAAATCTCTCGCACCTTACATTGCGCCGCACTGTGTGTCTGTCACTTTCTCAACAACAGTTTCCTCTCAACTTACGTTGCTCCCACCGTCAGGTACCACGGAGCAACGTTTTCGAGCGTCCCCAAATCATGCGTAGGAGAGGGAGGCCCCGAGTTGCCTGCTACCAGTGCCACAAACACACCCGCCTGCCAGCATTGCCAGGGGTGGAGTGGGGTGGGGTGGGGTGGGGTGGGGTGGGGTGGGGTGGGGTGGGAAGGGGTAAGAAGGGGATTCGACATGGGAGAGGGATGCGCCTCGTTGCCTCGTTGCAGAAATCATGGGGGATGCGGGGAGGTTAAGGAGAGGGCAGGTTTTTGAGGCGCCCAAAAAATCGCCTCAAGAATCACCTCATGCCTTGTGAACCGCAAACACACCAGCCTGCAGAAAGCCGCCTCACCTTAGCCGCATTCATGTAGTGAATGTGTGAGAAATACCCGCGCACCGAATCCCCCAAAGAAAGCGAGAGCACATCCACGCCGTCCGCCACAGCAGCGTACCTTGGGATTATCTCCAAAGCCTCACCTTAGCCGCATTCATGTAGTGAATGTGTGAGAAATACTCGCGCACCGAATCCCCCAAAGAAAGCGAGAGCACATCCACACCGTCCGCCACAGCGGCATCAACGGCGGCTCGAAGGTCGGAGTTGGTGCCGGCCGCTGCGCCGAAATCCTTCACCCACCACAGCGCCTTGTACATGGCGATGCGCGCCCGCGGCGCCACGCCGCTCGCGAATCCAAAATTGCGGCCGCCCATCTCCACGCTAACGTTCGCATTGCCTGCTGCCGCTCTGGTGGGTTGGAGGGGTGGAGAGGGATGAGAAGGTAGGTGAAGGGCAGGGAAAGAAGCTGCGGCCGCCCATCTCCACGCTAACGTTCGCATTGCCAGCTGCCGCTCTGGTTAGAAGGAAAAGGTGGGGGTGGGGGGGTTGAAGGTGGGAGTGAGACTGAGAGCGCCTTGTATTGTAACATGGCGATGCACGCCCACGAGGTGCCACGCCGCTCGCATAAAATCCGCGTGACGTGAACTGAGACGATTTTTGAGGCGCCTCAAAAAGCGCCTCAAAAAGCGCCTCAAAAAGCGCCTTAAAAAGCGCCACAGAAAGCGCCTCAAAAAGCGCCTCAAAAAGCGCCTCAAAAAGCGCCACAGAAATGCACGCGCACGAGGTGTGTCGCGCTATTAACACATAGCCTGCGGCTAAGTGTGAATTGCACAGCAGCTTAAGGTGAGGTTGTACTATATTGCTGTTTGGTTCTTGTACTCATACTTTCGTTTGTGTGCTTGGAATGTACTGTACATATATGGAGCCGAGCAGGGTGGAGAAGCTCGAGGAATTTGGTGGGGACAGGGTGGAATTCGATTCCAGGCTGGGAATTCGATTCCAGGCTGGGAATTCGGTTCCAGGCTGGGAATTCGATTCCAGGCTGGGAATTCGGTTCCAGGCTGGGAATTCGATTCAGAGAATGCAATTCCAGCTGGAAGTCGGTGCATGCCTAGTGGGCCACTGGGACCCAGCTAGCACCTAGAAGCTATCGCGAGCAGCACTGCTGCTATGCGACTTGGCAACTAGAGTTAGCTTGTGGGACAAGCAACCTAGGCAGAAGGATGGCTGGGACTTAGGCAGGGGAGGATACCTGCTCCGTGTTTTTTGCTTGTTTGTTTCTCGTAATACTGCAATTCGTTTCCCAACCAAGGAGGCAAGCAGCTAGGAGAAGCTAACAGCAAACTGACGGAGCCCTTGCGAGGGAGGATTTAGACTTGTTGCAAACAAGCAAAAAGGTAGCGGTAGAGAAGCGTACGGGCGCAGAGGCCCGGTGTTAGCCACGGCATCAGGGCCGTGAGGCATGAGCGATACGGATCCAGATCTACACATCCATCAGTTGCGGTCGGGACAGAGGTATCCCGCTAGGACTATGGAAGGTCGGGAAGAGCCGCCTGTGAAGCCTGGATTCCGTGCAGATGTAGGAGTTAATGAAACGCAGGGAGGAAAGGGCCCTGATCTGCCGAAGGAGGGTGGGAATCGTCAGGAGAAATTGCCCAGCTCGGTGCACAACTCGCCAGGACGACAGAGCGAGGCGAGATCTGGGCAGCAAGGATCGCAGCAAGGAACGCCTGAGCGTGGTGAGGCGCACAGACGGAAAGCAGAGCAGAACTTCAGAGAGGAGAATTTCCGTGGTCTATCCGGAGGGCGCAGTACCACCAGGGGGCCCGAGCAAGGGGGTTGGCCTGCAGGAAGCAGAGAGAGGGAAGCCGCAAGCTGGGGGTCGGGAGGTCTATGAACACGGCGCCCCCGAAGATCGAGATACCAGACCGCTTCTCAGGGGCACCAGGTGAAGAGCCAACACTGAAGAACTACCTTATGATGATTGATGATATACGGTACACCTGGGAGAGAGAGGGGTTAGATCCGATAGAATTTTTCAGAGGATTGGGAAGGACACTGAAAGGGGAGGCACTGACACACTACAGAGTGGAGCGTCAGGGGCTGCTGATGCAGTGCAAGAATGGGGACTTTGCGCAGGGAGAGATCACTGACCGATTTTTGGACACGCTGCGTGAGCAGTTCCCCGGGCACTCAGCTGAGCGTATGATAGAGTTCCAAGACTTTAAAAGAGGACGGGCAGAGTCGCTGCTGGCATACTACAACCGGCTGCTGGAGCTGGCTGAGGATATGGGCTGCGTTGAGGAGCGTACCTTGGTGACGAAATTCCTGGGGGGGTTGGAGGAGGAGCTGATGAATGAAATGAAAACACGTCTGTACGCTTTGGGGATGAAGGCGAGACTCAGGCAGGTGTATCAAGTGGCGAAAGAAGTGGAGGAAGGGCGGAGGTTCTTTGAAGGCTTGAGAGGAGCAAGCTCCAGCCGATCAAACGAGCGAAGGAGACCAGCTTGGGCAGCAGCTGAAGGAAGGAGGGGGGAGGAAGAACGAAGAGAGAAGCCCTGGGAAGACCCAAGGCGGTGCCATAAGTGTGGGGAAAAGGGGCATATACGGAAGGACTGCACAGTGGGCATTTTATGCGACACCTGTGGCGTGGAGGGGCACTTCAGGCGAGACTGCCCCAAGGCTCCCACCTGCACCAACTGCGGCAAGAAGGGACACACGAAAGAAAGGTGTTACAGCCGAGGAGAGAAGGAGAAAGGGAAGTCCGCGAGAGAGCTGCAGCTGGAAAGGGAGCTGGCGAAATTAAAGGCACAGATGGAGAAGACTCAAGTCAGTGAGGATCCTGAGAAAGCGCTGCTAGCCTGGGAGGAAGACGAAGAAGAATCAGATGAGGAGGAACCGGAGTATGGTACGATGGCATTACAACCTAGACCGCGGGAAGAGTTGGGGCTGAGGAGCAAAGGGGTAGACGGCAGAGCCAATGAAAAGGCCTACGAGAGGAGAGGCCCCAAGATACAACAGAGTGGAGATGAGAAGCGGACAGCACGGCGACGGCCTGACGAGAGAATGGTGTGTCAGCCTACGGCGTTGGTAGCTGAACCCGGAGCGGTGGCTGTAAGAGGCATACGGGTGGATAACGCGGTGGTGGACACTGGGGCGCAGAGTGTGCTGATTGGGAGGAAGCTGGGGGAGCAACTGAAGGCTCAAGGGGACTTGGAGCTAGTGGAACGGGGATTACTCATCATGACGGCGGAAGGGGGAGCACCCAAATGGATGCCGTGCACAAAGGAGCCAATAGAGATTACGCTGCAGCCTGGGGAAAGGGGTGAGACCAAGATACGAGTGCAGTGCGGGATGACAAAATCAGATGACTACGACATCCTGCTAGGCATGGAGCTGCTGTTTAGGGTGGGGGCGACAATATGTACTTGGGAGGAGCGGGTGCAGTACCGTACTGAACGTTGGAGGGAAGGAGGTGAGCTGGGCGAACTGCCGGTCAGGTTTGTTAAGACAGAACCCAAGAGGGCCTGGAGAGCAGGGGCGGTCAGGGGAGAGAGGAAGAATTGGGATGGAGAAAGCGCACTGGCAGGAAGGGGGCAAAGCTGAGTGAGTACAGTGTGACGCTAGTGGAGCTATTCGGAGGCATAGGGGCGGGGCTTGCAGCAGCCTTAGAGGCCGGCCTGGAGATTAAGAAGTGGCATTACGTAGAGTTAGACCCGGAGGTGCGTAAGATGGCGTGGAGTCATGCCAGGGCCCTGCAGAAGCGGTATCCAGCGCAGCTGCGAAAGCAAGTCATAGTAGAGGCAATGAAGAGAGAGCATTGGGATGTAAGGGAGATCAGCAGGCAGGAAGTGAGGAGCTGGGGAAAGGTGGACTTACTGGTGGCCGGATGGGAGTGCCAGGGCACTTCTCGGGCAGGCAAGGGAAGAGGGCTGCAGGATGAGCGCACGGGGTTAATCAAGAAGCTCCTGGAGGTCATGGCCTGGATGAGGGAAGAAGGAGAAGAATACGCGTACATCTTGGAGCACGTGGATATGAAGGGCGATCCACGAGAACCGGTGCGAGCTGTGAGGGAGATGGTAGAGGCACAGCTAGGGAAGGGAGTGAGTTGGGATGCGGCCCTGCACGGAGCACGATGTCACCGGACACGGTGCTACTGGCAGAACGTGCTACCAGAGAAAGATCTGCGCGCAAGACTGTCCAGGGTGGAGAGGGATGATCGGAGGATAGTGGAGGACATCCTGGAACCCGGGCGAGTGGCAGCTCCAGTGTGGAAGCCGGATCATCCCCTGCAGCACCAGTGCAACAGGATAGGAGAGGCACGACGAGCCTTGCCGACGCTGGTCGCCTACCCAGGAGCAAGGGGGTTCGTTGAGGCAGATGGCCAGCCTGGCCCAGGGATGATATATGACCACAAAAGGAAGAGGTGGGAGGAGCCGACAGCTTTGGAGAGAGAATTGGCTATGGGTTATCTAGCGGGAGCGACCGCAACACCGGGTGTAAGTGAGGAGGCAAAGAGGGCAGCGGTGGGGAGAGCTATTGATCAGCACTCACTGAGATGGCTGATTTGCGAAATGAGGAAGGGGGCAAAGGGGCCTGGAGGTAAGAAGGCAGGGGGGGAAAGGGGGCTGCGGAAGCAGCCAGCGTACTCAGCGGTGGAGCTGAAAAAGGAAGTAAGGGCGGAGCCGAGGCAAGAGAAGCTGAATGTCAGCAAGGGGCCACAGAAGGAATGGGAGATAGGGGCAGATGTGGAGGCAGGGGCTGCAGAGGCGATCAGGCAGCTGCTGAAAGCGCATAGGGGCACATTTGCATACAACTTGCAGGAGCTGGGGCAGTACAAGGGCGGGGAATTAGAAATAAAGCTCACGACGGAGATACCGACTTACCAGCGCAGGAGGCGCATGAATGCTGAAGATGCGGCCATCTGCAAAGAGAAGTGTGAGGAGCTGCTGGCAGCAGGAATCATCCGCCCATCCGAGTCTAGTTATGCAGCTGCCACGGTGGTCGCAGCCAGGAAAGATTTGACCGGCGCGGTTCTGTCACGACGGATGTGCGGGGACTACTGTGATTTGAATAAGATCACGGAGCCTAACCGCTATCCCATGCCGACAGCAGAGGATATATTTGACCTGCTGGAAGGGGCAGTCATTTTCACCACGCTAGACCTTAGGCAGGGGTTTAACCAAATTGCCATAAGGGAGGAGGACAAGCGCAAAACCGCTTTTCACGGGGTGGACGGATTGTATGAGTACAACAAGATGCCATTCGGCATGCGGAACGCATCTGCCGTGTTCCAGCGAGCAATGGATCAGGTACTGCGAGGCATACCAGCAGCAGCGTGTTACATTGATGATGTGCTGGTCTTCAGCAAAACGGACAGGCAGCATGTGGAGGACCTGAGACGGACACTAGAAGCAATAGCAGCAGCAGGACTCACCTGCCACCCAGAGAAGTGTAAGATAGCAAGGCGGACGGTGGCGTATCTGGGATTTGAGGTGAA